TATTTATGGTTTGATTTTTTTTCAAGAACATGTCATATCAAAACTACGTTCATTATATCGGTTAATATTATTAGTATAAAAGTATTTCTATAATAGGTATACATATCTTAATTCTTTTTAGCTAATAGTTTCCTTTTACGGTTTAGGGTTTTGCGTTTCAGTTTTTGGTTTTGAATATACGCTTGACATCATTTTTTGTAGAATATGGTTTGTGGATATTGCGTGACTAACAATCGTAGCAATGCGACAACAAAATCGAAACATAGTTTTATATGGCAGTTAATGTTTATGGTTTCGACAATCAGTTTTATTTTTGTTGGTGTCGAATAGTACAAAATCAAACTTGAACCCTCAAAATTTAGGTGGGATACACATTTCGACAACACACTTATTGCAACCAACTACATGTCATTTGGAAGGGGTTTATATTCATTTCGGTTATTTTTTAAACAAAATTTGGGACGTATTATTTATTATTTATAGTACACATTAAAAATACCATTAGCATAAGTATTTTATTGTTAACCAGATATATATAATAGATCGTGAAAATGAAATTGAAAAATCAAAAATATCATTTTTTTCATTAGTATCATTGAAATATAAGTTCACGAGATTTTCTAATATGTGTACTAAGGGCGCATATAACAAATATTAATTATGAAAAATATTAACATAATTAAATTCAAAATATATTTATTATAAAGTCCCTACATATTGGCCTCATAATCGATTTAGTCCCTATATATATTTTTTATTCAATTAAGTTCCAAATACCGGTAATCGTATTCAATTTAATCCTTTGACCCGGTCAACAGGTCATCCAACTTTCAAAAATTACATTTTCGGACCAGATTTCAAAATTTATTACAAATTTGATCCAAAATTTACACTTTTGGCCCGGATTTTAATTTTTTTTACAAATTTGGTCCAAACTTTACCTTTTTTGCCCAAATTTTAGAATTTTATTATGAATTCATCCTAATTTTAGTTTTTTTGCAACTTTTTTTTTCAAAAAATTGTTTCTAATATGTTTTTTCTTTATAAAATCATATTTATACAAAAAAAAAAAATTGTATTTTCACATAAAAATCTTATATTTTCTATATAAAACTTTTTTTAAAAAGTTTTTTGTATATGAAATCTCTAGTTATAAAAATATGTATTTATTTAGTATATAAATATATATAAATTTGTTTTTATAAAAAAATGTATACACACCTATCACCTTTATATATATATATATATATATATATATATATATATATATATATATATATATATATATATATATATATATATGCACACAAATAGGTGTGTATCTATATTTTTTTTTATAAAATCGTGTTTGTTTATATATATATATATATATATATATATATATATATATATATATATATATATATATATATATATATAAAGGTGATAGGTGTGTATACATTTTTTTATAAAAACAAATTTATATATATATTTATATACTAAATAAATACATATTTTTATAACTAGATATTTCATATACAAAAAACTTTTTAAAAAAAGTTTTATATAGAAAATATAAGATTTTTATGTGAAAATACATTTTTTTGGTTATAAATATGATTTTATAAAGAAAAAACATATTAGAAACAATTTTTTGAAAAAAAAAAGTTGCAAAAAAACTAAAAGTAGGATGAATTCATAATAAAATTCTAAAATTTGGGCAAAAAAGGTAAAGTTTGGACCAAATTTGTAAAAAAAAAATTAAAATCCGGGCCAAAAGTGTAAATTTTGGACCAAATTTGTAATAAATTTTGAAATATGGGCCAAAAATATAATTTTTGAAAGTTGGATGACCTGTTGACCGGGTCAAAGGATTAAATTGAATACGATTACCGGTATTTGGGACTTAATTGAATAAAAAAAATATATAGGGACTAAATCGATTATGAGGCCAATATGTTGGGACTTTATTGTAGTTTTCCCATTATTAATACATCTCACATTTAATTATGATAATATTCTTTATAATTAACTTTTTTTTACATTTAATTACGATAATATTTGTCATTAACTTATGCTTTTTATATATATTCTTTTGACAAATATTAGAAAATCTCTAACTTTATTTCGTACGCAAATTCACTTAAAATCTCTTTTCGTTTATTTTGAAAATAACAACTTTTAGATAGTTGACATAATCGATAGTTTAGTCAAATGTCATATTTGTTTTATTTTAATTATATCTAATTTTAATTTGTTATGTTTGTAAATTTTTTGATAGTTTAAATAAAAAATCGATTTTTTAAAATATCGGATTTCAAACCAATGTTTACGAAAGTCGAATTTTAAATTTTAAATATATAACCTTTATTATTAAGAACTTTTTTCTTTGTTGGGAATAAGAATAATTAAAGTAATTAACTTTTCATTTTATTCATGTATATGTAACTATCTTTTTTTTTTGTACACATCTAGGTAACAAATTTTTTGAAACTGTTCACATATGACCATCATAACTTGCTGTAGCAGGTTACATCCGACTACAGTAGGTCATAATGGTTATATGTGAACAATTTCAACAAGTTCGTTACGTAGATGTGTACAAAAAAAAAAAATAGTTACTCATATATGAACAAAACCAAAAGTATGAATAAACTACACGAATGGTCCCTGTGGTTTGGGGGAATTTGTACGTTTGGTCCCTAACTTAATTTTTTTAATTCAGATGGTCCCTACTGTTTTTTTTGCGCTTATCCTTGTCTTACCTAAAAAGACTATTGTGCCCTTATTAATTTATTTTTTTAATTAATTTTCTTATTTGTGTATTTTTTATATGTTTAAAAAAACTAATAGACCCTACATATTTGTATCTCCTCACCGTCCCATCTCTTATCATCCTTAACTTCTATTTATTTTCCATCTTTAGTGATATCGAAGTCTTCATCATCCATTCTTTTTTGGTCCTTCAACTCCAACGAACCAACAACACAACTCACTAAAGTGAAGAGACAGTGAGTTATTATGTTTGTTCGCCAGAGTTGAAGAACAAAAAAAAAGGATGGTGAAGACTTCCATGTCACTAAAGATGGAAAGAAAATAGAAGTTGAATAGGATGAAAGATGGGATGGTGACCGGTGGGACCCAAATTAAATTTCTCAAATATACTTTTAGGTTTACGGTTAAGAGATTCATATATGTGGGGTCTATTAATTTTTTTAAACATATAAAAACAAATACATAAATAAGAAATTTAATTAAAAAATAAATTAATAAGGGCACAATAGTCTTTTTAGATAAGACAGGTACTAAGCGCGCAACAAAAATAAACGGTAGGGACCATCCGAGTTAAAAAAAAAAAAAAGTTAGGGACCAAACGCACAAATTTCCCCAAACCATAGGGACCATTTGTATAATTTACTCTTACTTTTGGTTTTCTTTATATTTAGGTAACTATTTTTTTTACACATCTAGGTAACGAACTTGTTGAAAGTGTTCACGTATAACCACTATGACCTGCTGTAGCTAGATGTAACCTGCTACAACAGGTCATAATGGTCATATGTGATCAGTTACAAAAATTTTGTTACCTAGATGTGTACAAAAAAAATAGTTACCTATATGTGAACAACCCAAAAAGTTAATTACCTTAATAAGTCTTATTCCCTTCTTTGTCTCACTTTTCGATACAAAATGTGGACAGCTACTTACTTTTCTTAATTATCAGAAACTATAGCTCTTATTAATCTTCAAAGCCTACTATGTAGATGTAAGTTGTAGGTAATCAACTAATAATTATCATTAATTTCACTTTATATTTTTTATTTTTAGTTTTGACACAAATTTTAAAAGTTATATCAATATTATATTATTATATTATCAAAAACTATTTGTACATATATTTATTAGTTTTATAGAATATTTCAAAACCTTTACAATTTTATTTTACTGTATTTCTGATATAAGCATGAATTTCTTGGAATGTTTTGGTGAACAACCTTATTTTTATTTGTGTTATAGATAAAGAAAATAAGAGTTAAATACAAAAAATAGTTACATTATACATTTGTAGCTTTATTTATATTTTACCAATAAATAATATAATATAGAGATTAACAATAAATATAAATTACATAATAGCTATAAACAATAAATACAAGTGTTGCATTCTTATATTTAATATAATAATAATAATGAAAACAACCAATAATATAGAATATGTGTAATAAGTAACATAATTCGTTGATGACTTTTATTTTGGATAATTACTTAGGAGGGTAATAACGTTTCTCATTTGTCCATTTTAGGTCCTTAACGTTTTTTTTTTTTTTTTTTGTATAGTACACCATTAAGGTTCTAATAACCGTTTATAAATAGCCATTTAACCGGTTTCTTCCTGTTAAACCATTACGTGGATGATTAGTTGACGTTATTTAGGTGTTGCGTGTGTATTTATCTCCATAAATTAGGGCATGACAAATCCCCCATCTCTATCATTTCACTCTCACTGTTCTTTCTTCGAGCAACCCTGATCAGATCGGATGGCTAAAGATGATGCATTGGTCGTTGAAGTCCAGTACAACGGGCACTTTTTCCGAAGGCCATTTACGTATTTTGATCCAGATAAAAATGAGATAAGGTATGCCGATTTCAGGGACAAAGGGTATTCTGAGTTCATTGCTCACCTAGAGCTGGTTACTAGAAGGATGTGTAAAGATGTATACTATTGTCTAGACGGCCAAACATTGTGTCAAGGATTTGCCACATTGCAAAATGATTGTGATTATCATGAATTTCTTGAGTATCTTGATGACAAAAAGAAAGTAATTGTGTATGTGAACCATATGCATGAACCCCTGTTTGACTGGATTAAAACGGAAGAGCCTGAAGTTGAAGATGATACCAACTCCAACGAAGATGAAGTTGATGTAATAGATAAAGAGGGTTGGGAACACAAGATGGATGATGAGGAGTTTTCTATGAAAAGGGCAAGAGCAAGTATTTAAAGTATGTAGAAGAAAGACATGTTTTTGAACAAACTTTGCCCAAATGATGAAGAGGAAGAAGATCCTACTACTGAGCAACTACCTCCTGTACACCCTATGCACAATTCTGAGCAACAATGGGATCAAATGGCTCCTGTGTTAGGTATGAAATTCACTAATCCTAGTGAACTCAAACATTGTCTTACCAACTATGTTGTTAAGTATGGTTATGATTTGTGGTATGAAAAGAATGATAAATATAGACTTCTAGTGAAGTGTTGCAAAGGTAAAGAACCTATATGTCCTTTTAGGTTATGGGCTTCTTGGATGCAAGAGGAAAGGACTTTTTAGATCAAGTCACTTAAATCAACTCATAACTTTGGTAGAGTTTTTAAAATAGGCTTAGTGACTTACAAGTAAATAGGGAAACAATTTTTCAATGTACTTATAGAAAACCCCAAGCTTAGTTTGAGGAAGATGAAAGCTCAAATCTCAAACACATACAACATCATAGTTAGCATTGGGCAATGTAGAAATGCAAAAAGGTTTGCATTGTTTGAGATTGAAGGCACTCTGAAAGAGCATTATACTAGGTTGTGGGACTATGGCATTGAAATCAAAAGAGCTAATCCAGGATCAACTGTAAGCATGGAAGTAGACCATATGCCTTATGGAAGTACAATGTTCAAACGGTTCTATGTATGCTTCAGAGGTGTAAGAGATAGTTGGGTAGAGGGGTGTAGAAGAGTCATTGGCATTGATGAATGCTTTCTCAAAGGAATTTGCAAGGGTGATGTCACACCCCCAAACCAAGGATGGCGGAAACGTCCGGGGGTGGAGGACTTCATGTACAGTATCACAACAACGAATATAATAGTGCTCAAAGTAAATACAACCACCATATATATAATTTAAAAAGTTACACCAAAGTATATGTTTACATGTTTCAAAAACAATTACATTATGATGACAAAAATAAATTGTTGACGGTTTAACGTCCCATCCTCAGAGCGATGAAGTTTTCCTGTTTCACTGATTTCCTGAGAATACAAGTAGTTTTGAAAAGTGTTAACAATTAAGTTGGTGAGTTCATAAGAGTTTTGTTTGAAATAGAAACCATTTTCCTTGTAAAATCGATATAGTTTGATTTGCAGAAAATCCAATATTTTCTTAGTTAAGTGTGAATAGAAATATTCCTTTATGATGCATTAATGAACCCTAGAATGACCCGTAGAGTTCCTCTATAATCGTCCAGCGTATATAAGTTATATAAGGTTTAAATTAGATAAAACGTTGAATATAGTGGGTCTGCCCTAGGTCCACAACCAAACAAGGAACAGGAGATGAGGCAGGCACCAGTAATTCTAGGCCAATCGAGACAAAATTCTTATAAGACTCAAACACGTACGCTCAGCGATTATAGTTGAAGTCTAACAGTTCTAGATGCAATATAGTTTTAATATCATAATAACTATCTTAAGTGAACCGACACTTTGTATTTGTACCCCTTTTTATATAAAAACCGGCACTTTGTATTTGTACCCTTTTTGTATATAAACCCGGCACTTTGTATTTGTACCCCTTTTTGTATGAAAACCGCACTTTGTATTTGTACCCCTTTTTGTATATAAACCCGACACTTTGTATTTGTACCCCTTTTTGTATGAAAACCGGCACTTTGTATTTGTACCCCTTTTTGTATATAAACCCGACACTTTGTATTTGTACCCCTTTTTGTATAAAAACCCGGTACTTTGTATTTGTACCCCTTTTGTACGAGTATGTTATATAAATGATCATAAACTATACCTATTATAGTTTATTAAAATGTTTGAAATGTATATGTACCCTAACTATACCTATTATAGTTTAGTATATTTCTTTGTGGTGTTTAAGAATCCCCTTCTATGGAAGTCAAATGTATAGTACATTATAGCTATGTTTAACTTGTTTTGTCTTGTACTAATGATTATGATGGAGGATTCTTATAAATTCAGCAAGTAATTTCCTATTATATAATTATATCATAACAAGAAATACATGTAATATATGAAGTTATCAAAGTTTTAACACTTTGCTCAACATGTTACAAAGTGTTTTGATAGTTAGAAGCTGTTAATTAATTCTTAGTCTTTCAGCACTGTTTTAGAAAAATCAATACGAAGTCGAAAACTAGATCCGTAAATTCTGAGAGTTCACAAAATGTGTCTAGTTTACTCATAATGTTTATAAAGATTTTTAATGACCTCAAATTTGGGTGAAAAAGTCCATAATCACAGACTGGTCCGGATTGGTGTTTGAAATGATAGGCAGTTTTGTAAAATTCACCATAAATTGTAGAAAAATCGTATGGAGATGTGCAAGTAGTCATTTTAAAGCTAAGAACTTGAACTATTTGCACCTTGTACATTTTTGAAAAATAAAATGTTTAAGTTGTCCAAAACAGTCCGTGAATGGAGTTGAACTTTTCTGATGAAGGCTGTTAGAAAAATTTAGTTATGTTCTTGGTGTTTTAACTTGTATTCCCCCCCTGAAAACTTGAGAAAACATGAAAATGTAGTGGTATGAACTCACCTTGAGTGATTTCAGTAGATACGTGTTGAAGAAGAGAAGTGTTCAACCCAAGAACACTTGAAGAATCACTTGAAAATTTGAAGCTCTAACGCTAATATGATGGAGTTTGTGTAAGATATTCATGATTTGAGTAGAATGAAGTGAAATAATCATAATGAGGATGAATTATACTTACTAAGAGTGGAAGAACACTTGAAAATCAGCCTTGAATCTCGAAATTGGACTGGGAAAAGTTTGAGAGAAAAGTGGTGTTTGATACTTAGTAAAAACGTGGGAATGAGTGTAAATTGAGTGTGAGGGACATTGAAGTGACCTACGTAAGGTGGGGAGGTGTGGTTAGTCAAAGAGTGGGTGTGGGGTGGTTGCTTGTGACATTGGATAAGGCAAAGTCAACACTCCACCTTTAATAATTCACCCATTTGATTTTTATTATTTAGATAATGATTTTCATCAAAATATGTTTAAATTATGAATATTTAGAGTTTATTATGTTAAAATATAATTTCTGGAGAAAATCCCGCTTTAAAATCACGAAAAACGGGCTTAAAATGTTAAAAATATCAAAAATGGGCTAAAAGTGACAAATTTCCGAATTCTGGCCGAGGTTCGGCCTTCTGATGCTGAAACCGAGAGGAGGGAGGGTAGAAACCGAGAGGGGAGAAGAGAGAGGGAAGGAACCGAGAGGGGGGAGGAGAGAACAGAGGGGCGCGAAGAGACAGAGAGGAGAGAAGGAGCAGAGACCGAGAGAAGAGAAGAGACAGAGAGGCGGAGTAGAGACCGAGAGGCGGGTAGAGAAGAAAGTGGAGAAGCGACAGAGACCGAGGCTGGTCCTCGCGTGCATTAGCCAACAGAGGCTCGGTCCTCGCGTGCCTTAGCCAACAGAGGCTCGGTCCTCGCCTAAGAGGCCTCTCTTCTTGGTTTCGGTTCCTAAAGCCTATTTTTCTCGTTTTCGCCCCGTTTTAAGCCGTTTTTGACCCGGTTAAGGGCCGGAATGACCCGAATGATTCTAAAAAGTTACGGGAACTTTTGAGGAGATTTGGGAGAGATTTCTCATACTTGGAGAGATTTGGGAGAGATTTGACATTCTTGGAGAGATTTCTCATACAAAGAGATATTTGAGAGAGTTTCACATACTTGGAGAGATTTGGGAGAGATTTGACATTCTTGGAGAGATTTCTCATACAAAGAGATATTTGAGAGAGATTTCACATACTTGGAGAGATTTGGGAGAGATTTGACATTCTTGGAGAGATTTCTCATACAAAGAGATATTTGAGAGAGGTTTCACATACTTGGAGAGATTTGGGAGAGATTTGACATTCTTGGAGAGATTTCTCATACAAAGAGATATTTGAGAGAGATTTAGGAGAGATTTGACATAGAGAGAGATAGAGTGAAAACGATTGAGAGAGGTTCCATGTGGGACAGTTGTGAGTGTCCGACATCGCAATGCATGGTTTGTAAACCCTGTTAAGCCTTGTTTAAGGATCTTACACACTCCCAATGAGTAAGCATCATTGTTTTATCGGTTTGGCTTGCCACTTACCACAGTTTTTAGGTTAAAGAGATCTAGTTGTACGTACTTTTCGATTTATGTTTTCTTATCAGAATAGCGAGTTGTTTAGTAAATACTGAACGTAAGTCCTAGTACACAAGGGTTAGTTGAGCTGACCGGTTTGACTTGTTGACTTTATTTGACTTTGAATTGACCAGAATTTGACGGTTGTCACATCATCCCCCCGTTAAAGGGAATTTCATCCCGAAATTTGCACTTCGAATGGAGATCCAAGAATTTAGAGGAAAGATGGGGATAACTTTTCGTAGTACAAGAATTTGATTATGGTGAGGAATAACTCGCCCGATGTCACATGATTATTACTATGCATGCTTTAATCGATGCTAGATTTAACATATAAAGAAATTCGGGATTTAAATGTCGATGTTAGAAACACGTACTGATATTTGCGGGCAGTTCCGGGGTGGTTTCTCCCTCGGTGATTGCAAGCACCCTTCCACCACCACCGGCATCTCTTGTCCTTGGGCATTCCCTTTTAAAGTGTCCCGTTTCTCCACACTTGTAACAGGTTGGGCTTACTCCAAAGCCAGGGACCTGGTTGATGGGTCGTGCTGGTGCCTTACAGAAACGAGCAGTGTGCCCCTCTCTGTCGCAGTTTTTGCAATGCATCTTTCGGCAAGCCCCAGTGTGATGGAAGTTACACTTGTTGCATTTCGGAAGTGTTCCAGCGTATGGTTTCATGGGAGTTGGCGTGGTGAGGGTTGTGGCAGCATGAACAGCAAAGATCTGTTGCTTCTTAGCGAGGCCTTGGGCTGATTGGTCCTTCTTGTTGTCCCAAAACTTTCTTTCGCTGTTCCCTCCTCTTGCTTGGGTAAGGGTGGTTGTCATAGTGTCATGGTTGGCATGATGGTCAATGAGTTGTTGTGCTAACTCCTTGGCGCTGTCGAAGGTAGTTGGTCTTGAGGCCAGCACGCTATCTTGAATTTCGGGGGACAATCCCCAGAGGTATCGCTCCAACTTTTTGTCTTCCGGGGTGACCATAGCGGGACAAAGGAGTGCTAGATCACAAAATCGGTTGGTGTAAGTTGTAAGGTCGGAGCCTGCCATTCTGAGATTCCATAGTTCTTGCTCCAGCTTTTGCACTTCACCTCTTGAGCAATATTCCTTCAGCATCATCTTCTTTAAGTCCTCCCAACTTAACGAGTTAGCCACTGCAAGCGTAAGCGACTTAACTCTGCCGTTCCACCAAGTGAGAGCTCTT